TGAAAAGAAAAATTAGGAAGAAAACATATAACAGTTGAAATGTTGGGATCATGTCAGCTATTTTTATTATTAACCATTCTTATGTGAAAGAAAACAAGTAAATACACTCTTGTTTTACTATTTCTAAAGATATTTACATCTAACATTACTTGTGATTAGAAATTACATCAAATATCTATTTAATTTTTTAGGTGATTTTGGTAGCTACACTTAAGAAAGTTTCTCAGTTATTTTTAATATTTCAGGGAACCCAGATTTCAGGAAGATGTTAAAAGGGACTCACATGCTGTGTCTTTTATAAATTGTATGCGTTTTATAAGATGCAGTGTTGATTTTAGCTAAAAATGTAGAGGTAAATCAACACTCTATAAAATTTTCAGAAAATTGGATTAGAACTGTACTGATATTTTGCATCTTCTCCTATTAAAACATAAGCAAATATATTTTTTTCTTTATTTAGATCCAACCAGTTGACCCGTCTTTGGTGGCGTATTTGAAAGCACAGCAAGATACTTTCTACTCAGTGCTATCCACAAGTCCTCTGGTTCACGTTCAGCACCCATCAACTCATCCTTTTCAGAAGCCAGTCACTGTATTCCTACCTTGTTCTCCACATCCTGATAAAAAGAATCTTGGGTCTGAGATAGATCAGAAAAGAACCACTAGTACCACAACAAACAGGATCACACCTTCATATTTCAACTGGTGAGTGAGATCCTAACTGCAAAGTGACTTAACGGTACATGATTAAAATCACTATCCAATGTCTTGTATTTAATTATCAGTATTAAAATACAATGAAATATTTTAAATCTAGACTATTGTGTATCCATAAAAAGGAATGATTCTAGCTATAATGGGCTCAAAGGTGTGCTATGCGTTAGCAATAAGAATGATAGGAAAGAGGTAAAATTAATTCTTCCTTTCAAAGAACTTAAGATATGGTGAAATTACAAAAGTGTGTTATGGTGGTTTTAATTGCTACATTTAAAAGTGTTCTATGAATGTAGGAAAATGATGAACCTTACCTTTTATAAGACAAATTAAATTTGAATTTAATAGGTAGCTTCTGCTTCTCAACTTTTATGATTAAAAAAAATCCGCACCAATAAGACAGATAAACATAATATTACCATCCAGAAATGACAAACTGACAGGACACAATGAATGACAGTAATCCTGATCTTAATTCCTATTCTTTAATTTAATATTTATTAAATATTATTATCTTCTTTTTCCTAATCAAAAAGGTGGAAGGGAGCTCTCCATTTTTTGGTTCTAAAGTGTAATTTTTTTTTTCTCGGTACAATCAGAAGAGAAACAACAGACAAATAATTGAAATAATAACTGCTATTATTTGAGAGGCTTCTATGGGCCAAGTTCAATATGTGTATTATCTCATCCAGTCTAATTGTATTATTAGTGAGAAGACTTAAACTCAGTGATATTAAGAACTTATGCAAGTACTTATAGCTAACAAGTGCTGCAGTCTTGATCTAGACTCACATACATCTCT